CACACACACACATATGTATGTATTTCCTTCTTCATTCTTCATTTTGCCATAATGAAACTGGGCAGTTTTCTCTGGAGGACCCTGCTGTCCCTACAGCCTTTTTAAGCAGTGAATGTTTATTTCTCCAAGGCCTGGATATGAGTCAGGATATTCCTTATTGTCATTTCCAGTTCCACACCTTCTCCCAACCCCCGCCCCCCCCCGCCACCATTTTCTTATTTTTGAAGAAAAGCAATTCCAGGGCTTCAAATTATGCCATCTGCTGTCCTTCCTTATTTCAGTAATGCCCAGCTCTTAAGCCTCCCATCCCTGCATCTTTCCTGCCTCCCTGCCTGTCTCTCATTGTAACTCCTCCCTCCTCCCCAACATCAGCATCCACAGAGAACACTGATGTCTCTTACTCCTTGATCACCTTGTGCCCAGTGGCCTATCCTTTATCTGACTTCAGCCACCTGCTTTCAGGTCTTGTCTTGGCCATTGGCATGACCAATAACTGCACTGTCACTGAAATAATCATAAGCGATCTTTCCATCTTACTTCTCTTTGTCCTGACACTCATGGTTCCTCCTCTCCAGCAGGGCGTGTCACTGTCCAGGTATCCCCCTCATTCTTTTCTTTCTTCCCTATCTGTTTGGATTTCATGTCCATCATAATGCCTCACCTTTTACACTCTTCCTCTCGAAAAATCCTAGTCTTGGTTAAACCCAGCTCTGCCTCCACATGCTGGTGCCCACACAGCTCAGCATGCACACAATGTACCAATTGGATTCACTTTACGTAAATGGCCTGTTAGGGACAATGTTTGCATCCCCCAAGATTCACATGGTGGATTCTTGTTCCCTAGTGTGGTGATTTGGGAGATGGAACCCTAATGAGATTGGTGCCCTTACAAAAGGAACTCTGGGGAGCTCTGCCACTGTGTTTCTGCCATGTGGGAGAGAGTTCTCACCAGAATTCAGCTGAGCTGGCATCCTGATCTCAGAGTTCCAGCCTTCAGAACCTACAGACATAAACTTCTGTTAATTATAAACCACACAGTCTATGAACTTTGTTATAGCAACCTGGGCTAAGACATAGTCACATACCTCAAGTGAGCTTTCTGCTTTGCCTGACAGTCCTATTCATTCCATAGTCAGCTCACTCTTACTTTCCTACAACTCTTCTCTCTGAAACCTTAAACCTACCATCACCTCATATTCAACTACTGACCTTGTTTTTATACATTGCAGAGAAAATAGAAGTAATCACAAGGGAATCTCCTTGTGTTTCCTTTACCAAATCAAACAACCTCCCTGCATTTGTGTTTGGATGCTCTGCCATCCATCCTCCCTGGCCTTTGGCCAACCTCCAACTTGTACATTAGGCACCAACCACCTCTCATCTATGAAAGATCTTTGCTCCTGTTGTCCTCTGTTGTCTTCTGGGCCATACTCATTGAAACAAATACGATGTCTGATGTAAGTGCCATCCTAAATTCTTTCTGCTTGACCTCATGTCCATTGTGTCTTCTCACCCCATTTACGGGTTCCACCTCATAGCGGAATTCCTGGAAAGTATGTCTGTAGTTAGTGTCATTGTTTTCTCACTTCTCATGCTCTGTTGGAGTCATCAACAATCAGGGTTCCATGTCTACCCCCCATTGAAGTCACTCTTATAAAGGTACAGGGATTTCAGATTTTTATTTTCAAATTTTGGGATATTTTCATATATGTAATGATGTATCTTGAGGATGGGACCTAAGTCTACACAAATGAAATTATTTACGTTTCTTACACACATAGCCTGAAGACAATTTTATACATTATTTTTAGCCTGGGTCATGAGGTCGGGTATGAAATTTTCCACTTGTGGTGTCATGTTGACACTCCAAAAATTTTGGCTCTTGGAACATCTCAGGTTTCAGATTTTCAGATTCAGGATGCCTAACCTGTGTCAACAAGTTCAGACTCTATTTCCTTCTCAGGTCTTCATCTTACTGGATGTCCCAAAGACATTATCTTTTTCTTTTAACATTTATTTTGGGATAATTTCAGATGTAGAGAAAATTGCAAGAATGAAACAAAGAATTTCCACAGGTTGCCAGCTGTTAACCTGTCCCAGTCTGTCACCTGCACATTTCTTTTTGCCCCTTGGGAGGATGTCTCAGAGGCATTCAATACAGATGACCATTATCCCTTTTTGCAGCAGTTGCTTCACTGGCTTCATTCTTCCTCAGTGGCCTCTCCTCTTCTGTCCTTTTTACATATTCTTCTTTCTCCTCCTGAGGACTAGG